TGTAGACGGTGGCATGGTTGGGTAGTGGTGTTGGTTGGGTAGTGGTGTAGACGGTGTCATGGTTGGGTGGTGGTGTAGATGGTGGCATGGTTGGGTAGTGGTGTTGTTGGTTGTGGTGTAGACGGTGGCATGGTTGGGTAGTGGTGTTGGTTGGTGTGGTGTAGACGGTGGCATGGTTGGGTAGTGGTGTGGTTGGTTGTGGTGTAGACGGTGGCATGGTTGGGTAGTGGTGTTGGTTGGTTGTGGTGTAGACGGTAAGCATGGTTGGGTAGTGGTGTTGGTTGGTAGTGTGTAGACGGTGGCATGGTTGGGTAGTGGTGTAGATGGTGGCATGGTTGGGTAGTGGTGTGGTTGGTTGTGGTGTAGACGGTGGCATGGTTGGGTAGTGGTGTAGATGGTGGCATGGTTGGGTAGTGGTGTTGGTTGGTTGTGGTCTAGACGGTGTCATGGTTGGGTAGTGGTGTTGGTTGGTAGTGTGTAGACGGTGGCATGGTTAGTGGTGTAGGTTAAGGTTTTGTGTAGTGTGTGCTTTAGTGCTGTGAGCTCAGTGTGTGTTGTGGATACGTCCGGGAATGGCTCGTGTGTGTATGGGAGGAGGGGGAAGAGGAAGATTACACACACTCCCGGTGTCGCCTGCCTTATATACTGTAAACATCACCACACGATGATTGTTTTTTCTGTCTTGTAGGTTGGAGGGATTGACTGGGTTAAGGTGTTGCTGGGTTGTTTGTGGTGGGTTGCGGTGCTGTGTGTGTGTGTGTGTGTGTGTGTGTGTGTGTGTGTGTGTGTGTGTGTGTGAAGTAGGCCATCCTACCACAAACAAGCAGACTAGCCTAAGATAACCCTGAGCTTGTACCGAGGATTCCCTTATCACCACACGTCAACAAAGAGACATCTGTGTGTGTGTGTTATAAGGGAAAGAGTTGAGTGTTGGTGACAGGTGTAATGTAGGGCAACATGATGTTAGTGGGGAGGGAGAGGATGTTGGTGTTGGCTTCAGCCCAGCCACCTAAAATAAGACTGGCTTCCCCTCCTCCATTTTCACCTTCACACACACACACACACACACACACATCCTGGAGAAGGTAGTATTGTAAATGTTTAAAAGTAAATATGTACTGTATATATGGAAGAGGAGCATTAATGTTTAAATTTATTTGGAATGTTCTTGTGGCTTCAACTAACCATGTGGAGTAAGTATGTAGGTGACCCTCATACTCATCCAGTTCATCAAGTATCTGGGGTGGATTATTTTTCCGGTTGTCAGTGTGTACAGTAAATGACTGTCTGTCTCACCACTTTTAAGTTCTTGATTAAAGCTCCATTTGATTACCCTAATTCTGGGAGGAGGGCGGTGGTGGGCGTGTGTGGGTACTTGCTGGGCCTCTAGGTAGTCAACGGTTCCTCCCAGCGTCAAGCACAGTAGTTTGTAGGTGTTGAGGTTAGATGGCAATATATGGAAGGGGGTCAAGCTGAAGTTACTAGATCATGCACTACAGCACGGATGAACTAGACAGACTCTAAGGTGCAGAGAGTTGACCCATGTCCTATTAAACATAATTCTTCAGACAGTAATCGGTAAAATGATAACCTGACTTCTAACCCTCCAGCACCTCGTATATAACGTATTATGTTTTTGTACTGACAAGTTTTGGTAAACAATCCACTTCCCAATGACATTATTTATGATCAGTAACTTTTGTTCATTGTATATCTTGAGGTTTTGGCTGCTATACTTTTCACTAAACCATTATAATTATTAGTAGTAGTTGTACCGGTGTTATCATTATTACAAGTGGAGTCTTAGGTGATGATCACGTACCTGTAATAAAGAGAGACACACGTAGCTATGTGAAGCAACAACCCGTGAGCAGACAAACAAGTTAAGGGAAAACCAGGTGTGTGTCTTGGCTACATGTCTTACAACACACTGAATATAAGGTGTCAGGGCCACCACCTTCAACATTATGTATTAATTGCCCCAATAATTGAAGAATTCTGGGTTAGGAAACTTAATCTTCCTCTGGTTCATTGTTGCTGTTTTTCTGAATCTTAGAGAGTTCCTGTTACATCAAAGTATATATTTTGGGGTAGATAATTTGTACTCCGTTTAATTTGTGTATATTTTTCAATCGCCGCTTCCAAGACCTTAGGCTAACGTCCACAGGATGGACATTGAGAGATGTACAGTAAATTGTTAAAGTAGATTTTATTTATTAGTTCATGTCGTTGTAAGGTATGAAGAATGTAGGTGTTAGATGTGTGAATCGTTGTGGGAGTGTGGTATAGCGGTGGTGGGCACAGGAGGTGGGTTGGCCCCTCACCCGCCTGCACCACCTTATGTAACACCCCCTGCATTGTTCTTCGCCGCGTGTCTCCCACACATAACATAACACCGGATATTAAGAACTTAACATCTTAACTCTACAGTCACCCAACTAAACTGACTCTGGAGGTGTATGTATATACCGGTATAAATATACCTGTACTGTATATTATAATAATAATGATAATAAGTTTATTGAAAAAGATAAAGTTAGTAGTGGTGAAATTGGGGAGTGAGTCTCTTGATGAACGCTTTCAGTCCCCCATACACACACACGGTATGCCATGGTATACAAACCCAGTTCCCAGAAATATTGTCATCATCAGTATCACACATTTTATATTTTTCAAGAGACTCTGCAACCATTAACATACAGTAATTAGCGGATGTTGCAACGTCTCAAAACTGCTAACTATTTCCTTGCTTGTCGTGAGTAAAATGCATGGCATATTGCTTGTGTTTATCAGTATTTCTGTCTCTGTCACTCTGGCTGTCTTTCCAGTCCGTGAAGCACGCTAGCCCCCGGTAGGGAAACAAGCAAGAATGTTTTGTTGACGGACTTCACTTTCCCGAAAGAACGGTTTTGTCTTTAAAGAGTGACTCACATTTCTCAGAAGCCTGTGTTTATTTTACCACGAGGGAGGGAGGGAGGTATAGGGAAGGCAGGAGCTTTTACTCTACAATACTCTGTGTCGGCTGCTCCCTTAATGTAAACGCATTTAAGCATTTATTTACAGTATATTTATGTAAATTAACTTGTGATTCTTACTAATATACGACTATATTCTGTATACGGTACTGGTATATACTTAGTGTACGGTAAGTAATAGTGTTTTTATTATCTTAAGTTATAAAGTTAAGTCTTATGTGAGATTTTTACAGAGAATATTCTTATTTATGTTAGTATCGAGTTTGTTCTAATTTATATTGAAATAAGTGCAAATTTTATATTTACGTATTCTGATTGTGTAACTAAAATTCATACATACATACAAAAGAATATGTAAAGTTCACTTTTATTTTTATTTCTAAGAGGATGTGAAGCTTTTGTCCTAGTTAGTGTGAGTTGTTTACACCGAGTTATTCCAAAGAGTGTGTCTCGGCTAAGAAATTTCCTCATCTCACATTAACACCAGCGACGACATGTACCGCCCAGATGTAAACATACTTGGGGGCAATAAAGTGTTGAAACTCACCCAAATAATGTTGTTTTAGCGCCGCCCACATAACGAGGAAACGTATAATGAATCCCTGTACATTTGGTGTGTGGAGACTGAAAGACAAGTTAAAGTAATTTGGGGGTAACCTAACCTAGTTCACCTAACGTGATTACTGTTGATAATTTGGCACACAGACAATCGTTCTGGAGGCCCCATTCAGGTGTGTGGTATATGATGATAATCCCAGGTTATCTAATTATCACTACAGGGGTAATAGGCTCCAGGTCACTCAGGTACATGACAGGTAGCTTATAGTCGACTACGTGTTCGTTTTATTTAGGTAAATTTGTTATTGTTATCTACTTTTCCAGTTTGTTGGTCGTATATTTCTGTTGTCATATAATCTACGTTCAGTAATTCTTGGATTGTAAGATACCGGCATACAATATACTTACTGTACCTTGTTTTGATCCTGGGAAAAATTGAGACATTGATGGGAGAGGTGTGTTTGTATATACCCAGATATACACATTCTTGTCAGTCGTTGAACATGTGGAGGTAGAAAAATATTGACATGATTTTGAGCGGTGATGGAGAGTAAACCCCATGATGACTGTGTCGTAAAGTGTCGCGGCTGTGTAGTGATGTTGAAGCTATTTCTTACCAGTCGTCATCACTACAGAAAGAGAGAAATAGTTCTTGACAAAAGTTCTGGAAAAATATGAAGGTTTGCTTTGTATCAGATTACCGTATATGAGTGTTCTTTCCCTTGGGTGTATATATGTAAAGGTAATATGTAATTTTTTGGGTGTAGTCTTGTGTTTCTTGGTGTTTTTATCTCGTCTTTACCATCTTCACAATGTCTGGATGTCTCATATTGTCATTTTTTGTGAAGTTGGTGATGAAGAAACGGTATTATACAATATTTAGTTTTCCCGTGTTAATGAATAATGTTATTAGTTTTTTCACTTGATTGTTCTCCTGTTAGTAATGGTACAAACTAGCATTTGAAATAGCTTAGGTAATATATTTCCTGCTGGGGAAGAATATTGAAGTCTTCGACACAGTTCTGCGGGAATAGCGAAAGCGAAGCGAATGGTAACGATAAACGTGCGTGAATTCAGGTAGAGTTGGGCACTGCACCTTACTTCCGTGTTATTAAAGCGCCGCTGACGTACTCACGTGAATTCTCTTTTACTAGAAACTCTTTGTTTATATTACAGACGTAAATTAGAGCAGGAAGTTACTTCAGACGTGAAATAATACATAATGGGGGTAATTTTAGATGTATATCAGAGTAACGAGTTGCAATTATTTTAGACGTAAATTAGATAAAGAATTACAATCACACTGCGCTAAACTAACACCTGGAATTCTTGTACTGGCTTCAACAGTTACCAGTGTTTGTGTGTGATAGTCTCAAGGAAGGTCCGTTGTCAAATGTACCAAATTAAACTTGCTGTACCTCTGACATTCTTCCATTTCATGGATTGATAAACTTTAATTCTTTCCAGGTGAGTCTTGGTGATCCTGGTGACAGCTGAGTGAGATGAGAAAAAGACCCAAAGCCCTGTACTGAAGGAAAAGAGGAGAGAGACGACTATAAGGCACATGCTAAGTGTTGTGTATGTAGGTTAGGTTAGGTTAGTTAGATCAAACTTGGCTCGTGGATGGGTGCAGGAGACGAGGATGAGGAGGGGATCCTTGAGACACTGTATCTAGACGTAGAGGGGAATGGTTGTTGTCTGCAGATAAGGGTAGGATATGAGGGTTATTGACCTGAGGGGAAAAGAGGGGAGGAGGATAGTGAAGTTGAGGTTCATGATGAGGGGAGATAGACTGTGCAGCTATAGGAGACCAGGGCAGGGTGATCTAAGGATGCTAGTGGTGGCAGTAGGATGGGTCTTAAAGGATATGAATTTTGGCATTGGTGATCTTAAAGAGACGACGATAGGATACTGCTAGGGATGAGGAGTTGGGGTGAGAAGGATGACAGAGAAGGATATTGAGGGTTGAAGGATTATTTTTTGTGGTTAGTTTTTGTAGTGATGTGCCTGGAAGCTGAGGATAGACGGATAATATTGATGATTGGGAACTTAATGATGGGAGAAGGGGGGGATGCTTATGGGGGGGGCAGGTAAGGGAGAGAGGGAAGACTTGTGAGGATAGTTGAGGCTAGAGAGAGAATAGGAGATGGTGGTGACTAGCGAGGATGCTTCCGGAGAGGAGAAGGAAATTGGGTGTTGGTTGGGACGAGGCATGGTCAGTTGTGGATAGGGTGAGCAGGATGAGGTTGGGTGGTTAGATAGGGTGAGGTCGGAGGTGGGGGTGTGGTTAGACAGGTTGATCGGAGGGTGGTGGTTATGGGACAGGAAGCTGAAGATCAAGAGGTCAGCTGGATAGTTAAGGTGGGTGGTGGGTGTTTGCAGAAGACAGCCAGCTGGGTGGTGGGTGGGGTGTATGGTAGAAGACAGGGGCCAGCTGTGGGTGTATGGTAGAAGACAGGGGCCAGCTGGGTGGTGGGTGTATGGTAGAAGACAGGGCCAGCTGGGTGGTGGGTGGGGTGTATGGTAGAGACGGGGCCAGCTGGGTGGGTGTATGGTAGAAGACAGGGCCAGCTGGGTGGTGGGTGTAGAACATGAGCCAGCTGGTGGTGGGTGTATGGTAGAAGACAGGGCCAGCTGGGTGGTGGGTGTATGGTAGAAGACAGGGCCAGCTGGGTGGTGGGTGTATGGTAGAAGACAGGGCCAGCTGGGTGGTGGGTGGGGTGTATGGTAGAAGACAGCCACTGGGTGGTGGTGGGGTGTAGGTGAAGACAGGGGCCAGCTGGGTGGTGGGTGTATGGTAGAAGACGGGCCAGCTGGGTGGTGGGTTGGGGTGTATGGTAGAAGACAGGGCCAGCTGGGTGGTGGTGGGTGTTAGAAGACAGCCAGCCAAGGTGGGTGGGGTGTATGGTAGAAGATGGGGCCAGCTGGGTGGTGGGTGGGGTGTATAGAAGACAGGGGCCAGCTGGGTGGTGGGTGGGTGTATGGTAGAAGACAGGCCAGCTGGGTGGTGGGTGGGGTGTGTATGGTGGTAGGGACAGGGGCCAGCTGGGTGGTGGGTTGGGGTGTATGGTAGAAGACAGGGCCAGCTGGGTGGTGGTTGGGGTGTATGGTAGAAGACAGGGCCAGCTGGGTGGTGGTGTGGTGTATGGTAGAAGACAGGGCCAGCTGGGTGGTGGTGTGGTGATGGTAGAAGACAGGGCCAGCTGGGTGGTGGTTGTGGTGTATGGTAGAAGACAGGGCCAGCTGGGTGGTGGGTGTGGTGTATGGTAGAAGACAGGGGCCAGCTGGGTGGTGGTTGTGGTGTGGTAGAAGACAGGCCAGCTGTGGTGGGTGGGTGCAGAGACAGGGGCCAGCTGGGTTGTGGGTGGGGTGTATGGTAGAAGACAGGGGCCAGCTGGGTGGTGGGTGGGGTATGGTAGAGACAGGGCCAGCTGTGGGGTTGTGTGGGGTGTATGGTAGAAGACAGGGGCTGGGGTGGTGGGTGGGGTGTGGCGAAGACAGGGGTCAGCTGGGTGGTGGGTGTATGGTAGAAGACAGGGCCAGCTGGGTGGTGGGGTGGATGGTAGAAGACAGGCCAGCTGGTGGTGGGTGGGTGTATGGTAGGACAGGGGCCAGCTGGGTGGTGGGTGGGGTGTATGGTAGAAGACAGGGCCAGCTGGGTGGTGGGTGTATGGTAGAAGACAGGGGCCAGCTGGGTGGTGGTGTATGTTAGAAGACAGGGGCCAGCTGGTGGTGGGTGGGGTGTATGGTAGAAGACAGGGGCCAGCTGGGTGGTGGGTGTATGTTAGAAGACAGGGCCAACTGGGTGGTGGGTGGTGGGTGTATGTTAGAAGACGGGGGCCAGCTGTGGGGTTGTGGTGGGGTGTAGTGGTAGAAGACAGGCCAGCTGTGGGGTTGTGTGGGGTGTATGGTAGAAGACAGGGTCAGCTGTGGGGTTGTGTGGGTGTATGGTAGAAAAGGGGCCAGCTGGGTGGTGGGTGGGGTGTATGGTAGAAGACAGGGCCAGCAGTGGGTGGGGGGTGTGGTAGAAGACAGGGGCCAGCTGGGTGGTGGGTGGGGTGTATGGTAGAAGACAGGGGCCAGCTGGGTGGTGGGGTGTATGGTAGAAGACAGGGGCCAGCTGGGTGGTGGGTGGGGTGTGGTGGAGAAGACAGGGGCCAGCTGGGTGGTGGGTGGGGTGTATGGTAGAAGACAGGGGCCAGCTGGGTGGTGGGTGTATGGTAGAAGACAGGGGCCAGCTGGGTGGTGGGTGGGTGGGTAGAAGACAGGGCCAGCTGGGTGGTGGGTGTATGGTAGAAGACAGGGCCAGCTGGGTGGTGGGTGTGTATGGTAGAAGACAGGCCAGCTGGGTGGTGGGTGGGGTGTATGGTAGGAAGACAGGGCCAGCTGGGTGGTGGGTGGGGTGGGTAGAAGACAGGGGCCAGCTGGGTGGTGGGTGGGTGTATGGTAGAAGACAGGGGCCAGCTGGGTGGTGGTGGGGATAGAAGACAGGGGCCAGCTGGGTGGTGGGTGGGTGTATGGTAGAAGACAGGGGTCAGCTGGGTGGTGGGTGTATGGTGAAGACAGGGGCCAGCTGGGTGGTGGGTGGGTGTATGTTAGAAGACAGGGGCCAGCTGGGTGGTGGGTGTATGTTAGAAGACAGGGGCCAGCTGGGTGGTGGGTGGGTGTATGGTAGAAGACAGGGGCCAGCTGGGTGGTGGGTGTACGTAGAAGACAGGGCCAGCTGGGTGGTGGGTGTATGGTAGAAGACAGGGTCAACTGGGTGGTGGTTGTGGTGTATGGTAGAAGACAGAGGCCAGCTGGGTGGTGGGTGGGGTGTATGGTAGAAGACAGGGCCAGCTGGGTGGTGGTTGTGGTGTATGGTAGAAGACAGGCCAGCTGGGTGGTGGTGTGGTGTATGGTAGAAGACAGGCCAGCTGGGTGGTGGTTGTGGTGTATGGTAGAAGACAGCCAGCTGGGTGGTGGTTGTGGTGTATGGTAGAAGACGGGGCTGGGCTGGGTGGTGGGTGGGGTGTATGGTAGAAGACAGGGGCCAGCTGGGTGGTGGTGTGGTGTATGGTAGAAGACAGGGCCAGCTGGGTGGTGGGTGGGGTGTATGTAGAAGACAGGCCAGCTGGGTGGTGGGTGGGTGTATGGTAGAAGACAGGGCCAGCTGGGTGGTGGGTGGTGTATGGTAGAAGACAGGGCCAGCTGGGTGGTGGGTGGGTGATGGTAGAAGACAGGGGCCAGCTGGGTGGGTGGGGGGTGTATGGTAGAAGACAGGGGCCAGCTGTGGGTTGGGTGGGGTAGATGCCATGCCAGAGGAACAACAATAGTCCCGAGTTATGACTGACTGTTATGGTGGAGGAGCACGTCACCCTTAATCACCTTATCACTGACGTATTGTGTGTGTGTGTGTGTGTATTGAGTTAGTATTGATTTGATATTTAAACGCTCTTGTTAGGTGGTTTGGTTTGTGCTCTTAATCCTCGATTAGTGTAAGATTGTTGCAGATTTCCACATATGAAGACTGGTTTAAGGGTGCATATAGTATTGGCGAGCTATGAAGTGGGTTAGGTTAGGTTAGGTTAGGATTTGGAGTTAGGTTAGGTTGTTGGATTAGGTTTCTGAACATCATCTTTCTTACTCTTCAACTTTTCCTCCTCAACTCTTCCCTCCTCTTCCTCTCCCTCTTTCCTCCTCCTCCTCGTCTTGTTTCCATCTTCCAGGGCAAAATAATCTGGCAGGAGTTCAAAATGCATGGATGCTAATCGTGCACCACCACATCCCACGCTCCACCACCACCCTCCCAACTCCACCACCACCACCACTACCTCCCAGCTCACCACCACCACCACCACCACCACCACTACTACCCTCCCAGCTCCACCACCACCTCACCACCACCACCACCACACAACAAAACAACACACCCACCACCTCCCCAACTCCTCCCCAGCTCCACCCACCACTACCTGCCCAGCTCCATCACCACCACCACCACCACCCCACCCACCACCACCACCTCCCCCTCCCCACCTCCCCAGCTCCACCACCTCCCAGCTCCACTACCACAACCTGCCCAGCTCCACAACCACCACCACCACCACCTCCCCCACCTCCCAGCTCCACCACCTCCCCAGCTCCACCACCACCTCCCCAGCTCCACCACCACCACCACCACCACCACCCACCTCCTCCACCACCTCCCCACCTCCCCAGCTCCCACCACCTCCCCAGCTCACCACACTACCTGCCCAGCTCCATCACCACCACCACCACCTCCCCAGCTCCACCACCACCACCTCCCCAGCTCCACCACTACCACCACCTCCCCAGCTCCACCACCACCACTACCTCCCCAGCTCCACCACTACCACCACCTCCCCACTTCTTGCGCCCTTCCGTTCTTCCATGTTTCCTCCACCCGCAGTTAGTTCCTTGAATCAGTCTTGGTCATCGGCTCCTCTCTCTCTCTCTCTCTCTCTCTCTCTCTCTCTCTCTCTCTCTCTCTCTCTCTCTCT